AGGTATATCCCAATTATGTACGAAATACTGTAAACTTTTTAATACTTTTTTTCTTATTATTGTCTGCCGTTCCCCTTTTTCATACCAAATAACTCTGAACAACCACTCGAACTTTAATTTGAACTTTAACTCAATGGATAGCGATACCCATCCAAAGTACATTAAACAAACGATATATTGAAATCTGTTTAAAAATAGAACATATTTTTTTCCGAATTGGTCACGTGATTTTACCTCATCAAGTAATGGGATAACCACATCAAAGAATGACAGGACCACATCAAATAATGAAACAAACACATCATGTAGTGTAAAATCGTCAATTTTTGAAACATCATTACGTAATGTTAAAACCATATAAAGAATAGGCAAATCATCATTACAAAATAACAAAACCACATCATGTAATGAAACAACTACATAACGTTAAGTCACATTCACATCAAGTAATGTTAAAACCACATTGACTAATGACACAGCCACATTAAATAATGGTGAAACCGCATAGAGTAATGACAAAACCATATTGAGTAATGACAAAACTATATCAAGTCAATACGAAACCATATCGTGTAATATCGAAATATCATTAAGTAATGACTATTCCATATTGAGTTATATCAAAACATCATTACGTAATGTCAAAACCATATTAAGTAAAGACAAAATATCATCAAGTAATAATAAAATAACATAAAGTAATATCAGAGTTCCACATAAGACAGCTGTGGCGTTCCATAGAAACTCATTATAAATATTTGATCGGCAGTTATTTTTGAAATGTTTCCAAGGGGCATAACTCTTTTGAAAATAATTGATCAGCTGATTTTCAAACTCGTTAAAGACATTGCTGATATAAACCTATGATATAAGTTTCATAAAATTCGGGCAGAATTGTACATATATCAGCGTTCACAAGGCAATTTTCATATAATTAATGTTTCCAAGGGGCATAAATCTTTTCAATATAATTCCTTGGCACTGATTTTCAAACTTGTCCAAGACATTGCTGATCTAAACCTATGATATCAGTTTTAGAAAAATCTGGTAAGAATCATACATGTGAGAGAGCTAGCAAGACCAGCCGGATGGACGGCTGGACACCTGGTAATTCTATGTCCCCCTTAACGTGTGCGGGTGACAGTAATGAATTCATATAGTATTGGCATCATTCAAATGACCTCAACAATATTTAAAGTTTAAGTAAGTGTGTGAAAAATTATTTTAAAAGCATATAAAATTACACAGCTTCCTAATGTTCCAACAAGTAATTTTTTAAATCTTCTTTGTACTTGAGGTTGATTTTTTCAGGGATATTGGTAAGTTATTCCATAAAATAGATCCTGAATATATAAAAGATTTCTTAAACATCTCTGTTTTGGCTTTTGGAACTTGCAATTTTTTGCAAGACATATATTCCTCAAACAATATTGGTTTATTTCTGGTATTTCTTCAAATTTTTCAGTTAAATATACAGGGGCTTCATTCTTAATGCATTTATGCATCAAAACAGATTTACGATATGAGATTCTGTTCTCTACTGTCATCCACCCAAGCTGTTTAAACAGAGGTGCTGATGCTGAAAGTGGATCAGCATCTAAAATTAGTCTTGCAGCCCATTTCTGCAATTTTGTTATTCTTACTAGCTCATTTTTAGCACAACCACTCCAATTAATACAACAATAATCTATCAGTGGGATAATATAACCATTATAAAATAATTTTCTTGAATCAATATTTAGAAATTTCTTGATCTTAGAGAGTAAATGAAGTCTAGATGATATTGATGAACATAAGTAATTAACATGGCCTGTCCATGACAGATTAGAGTCAATTCTAACACCTAAAAGTTTTTCAATTGATGATTTTTGAAGAATATTATTCTCAAGTTAGAACTGGTTCTGCTTGATGGAAACGCAGCCTTTGTCATGTACTTATAACCATACATTAAGTTTTATCCAAATTTATGAATATGTTATTTTCATGACACCATTTTTCAACCCATTGGAGATCATCTTGTACTTTTAATTGCATATCAGCAATACTCTTTCCTGATGTATGCATCATTGTGTCATCAGTATACAAGTAGATCTTCATGGCAATTTTTTTTTATATAAAACAAACAAAATGGGACCAAGTATTGAGTCCTGTGGAACTCTGAAATTTATAAATTTTTTATCAGAATATTGATTACTTATATGGACTTACTGTGTTCTTTCTTTCAAATGTGGTTTAAAAAAATCAACAGTATTGTCATGGAAGCCATAAATTTGGAGTTTTTTACATAAAATTTCAGGATCAACAACATCAAAAGCTTTTTTAAAATCCAGGAGAACTGCCAAATTGATATTTCCATTATTCATTTATCAATGATATTAATGAGGCCAGTTTGACATGAATGGTTAGGTCTAAAACCAGACTGGGAAGGGTGTAAAAATTGAAACTTAGTCAAATAATCATACAGATGTTTAGATACATGTCTCTCTATTAGTTTTGATAATGTTGGCAGAACAGATATTGATCTGTAATTGCTAGCTAAATTTTTTTCACCTGATTTGAAAATAGGAGCTACCTTGGCATTTTTTAAAACACATGGATAAATACCAGTATCAATCATTCGGTTAAAAATATATGTTAAGGAAGATGCTATGAAAGGAGCACTCAGTTTTAAAATCTTTGGACCTATATTGTCAGAACTAGAAGATGTCTTAACATCTAGTTTGATTATTTCATCAAATAGTTCTGTAACTTTTACTGGGGGAATGATGAATTTATATATACTGTTATCTACTAAGACAATCAATTGTTCTACATTTTGCTAAAGTTTGTTGCAGAGAATGTGTAGTAAGGGGGTTACAGTACATATCCTTATTTGTTTTTAGTTTTCAGTTTATAATAGTTTTCATTTTTTTTTTTTATGCACATATATATATTAAACGACAATTTTAAATGAAAAAGGATTTTTTTCAAATTTTACCCTTAAACTGCAGCATACCTGTCAATCTCTGAAACTGAAAATGCAGGTCATGACCTGCATTGAAGGTAAAAATGTCAGGTCATAACGCGCACGAACTTTTTCGGTCCAATTTTAGTGTTGAGAGTTTTTTTTTATATACTACAACATATACATGTACCACTGAGTTTCCTAAAAATAATCACTTTTGTATTTGTTAAGTATATAAATATTTATCATTAATTAAATATCTTTCTAAAGCAGTGCCCTTTAATTATTGTTTTATTCACACTAGTTTACTTCTTCTTATTAATGAATGTCATAAACCCCAGATTACATGTAATTAGAAATCAATTATAGCTAATATGCTCCTAGATTGAGACAAGACATTCACATAATATTCAAATACACACAAAAACAATCAATATCCAGCCAAAAAATGACTTATGAGACACTGATCCTTAAAACCAAATTATATACAAAAATATACTATTTAACTTATAAATAATCTCATAAAAGTTATACTGAAAATAGGACAGGTCACTTAAAATTTAAATAATTTTTGGATTAAAAAAGATATATATTAACTATGAAATATGATATATTATAAAATGATCACATTTGGGTAAAAATCTTATAAATAAAAGCATTAAAAATTGATTATAGGAAAATATTACTGTAAAAATAATTTTCTACGCAAATAAAATTTATGTAAACATTTGCTTGCAAAAATAATACTGGATATTGGTACAATTCATAATTTCAATAAATTTTCTGTTTGTATTAAAATCTTGAAAGTCTTCAATAAGTTTTGAGCATTCATTAATAAGATTGTATCGAAGATCATCATATAATGAGCATTCCATTAGAAAGTGTTTTTCTGTTTCAACGCTGTTAGTTTCGCACAACACACATATTCTGTGTGCAATGGGTGTAGGCGGCCTGGAGTATCTTCCCGTTTCACACGCAAGTGGAAGTGAACCGGAGCGAAACAGAGCCATTGTACGTCGCTCAGTTACACAGGAGGAAGATAAATAGAAAGAAGTTAGTGTGTTTCCTTTCAGTGTAATATTTAGAGCATATGGATTTGATTTAAAGCTTTTACATTTAAGTGATAACAAAATTATTCTCTCCAACAGAAATATATTAAAATGTTCAAATTGTTTTAAAATGATTTTAACAGGATTAAGGATATTTGCAAACGGCAAATCTTTTAATCAGATCATAGAATTGTATGTCAAGCTTGACTGGCTTCAACTTTCTGGGGTACAAATTGTTACTTTTCAATCAAATGTAATGTTTTGATAGCTGTCATTGGCACGGTAAATAAGTAAATTCTAATTTTAATTGTTTACTTTTTCAAAGGAAAAACGCAGAGAAACGAAAACCGAAAGTATATTTGACTTCTAAATACCGGAAACAATACCCGTCAGAAATACGGGTGAAAACAGGTCATTTTCTGAAATCCCCGGTTATTTGAATACCCGGAAGGTATTTAATAAATCCCATGTGAAGGGGGAAATTCTCGGGTGTAACCCGCAGAATACGGGTCAGTTGACAGCTATGAACTTGACAAGTTTTTAAACCCAGTCAGGATCACTTTATTTTAAAATTAAAGAGCCATACTGGTGTAGGCATAGTAATTCATAGATCATTGAAACTTGAAAAAATATAGAACCTTGTCTCAATTTATATGTGGTCTACTCTAGTCACAAAGACATTGATATATTTACAAACATTTTCTAGTCTGAAATTATAAAAGTTTTCTAGTCATGCATAATATGTTATATGTTGTTTTAGTATCAATAAAGTTCAATTTATTGTTTTTCTGTGTTTTCCTGTGTGTCAGATATATTTTAGGAATTCCTCAAAAGAAAAATCCTACCTACCTACCCTGGGTAGGGTAAGGGGAAACAAAGAAATTTTTAATTGAGGCCTTGTACCTATATTTACCTTAACTGCCACAGGTAATTTTCGATGGACATTGAAATAATATTTACCTTAACTGCCACAGGTAATTTTCAATGGACATTGAAATAATTTTTACCTTAACTGCCACAGGTAATTCTCCATGGACATCAGGTACACCTGACAGAAATCCTTTATAAACTTCACCAAAGGCTCCATTTCCTAGAGCTCTGAAATATAACAAAGTTTTGTGCCATGAACTTATTATCTTCCTTATATTCAGATAATAAATATGAATCTAAATCGTATAGGTTTTAACAGGTCAACTGAAGAATATAATGCAAAATCCAAAATTCCAATTTAATTCAATGAGATACTTATTACCTAAGAATTCTGATATTGCATAATAAATAATAACCTTACGTTATTAAAATGGATTCTCTTCTGGTTGTGACCATCATGAAGAGACATTTCTTGTATCACACTCAACAGGGTGTGATAATAATAAGCAATACAAAAAAATACATTAATTTGGTAAGTCTATCTTGCAAAGTGTCCAGCAATGTGATACCTAAATGCAAAATTTCCATTGGCTATTTGTTAGGTCAATGATGACTTACAAAGGTCACACTGCCGTAGCAACGGAAATATGTGATTTCTCCAATAATATACAAAAGCACTAAAATTTTGAACTGAAAATCCTTTTTTTGCCAAAGGAGTAAGTTCGGTAAGGGCCATATTTGGCCCTGACTATAAAGTTCAATTTTACAAGATAAAAAATGTTTTAAGTTAACTTAGAGACATGTGAGAAAGTTAAATAGAACTATTTGTGTCAAAGTTTTATTCTAAAGCGTTGATTTTTACATCCCAAATAGATCAAGATAAGAGATTTTGGCAAAATTTGACAAAAACAGCCGGATTTCAACCAAATTTAGGACCAGGAAACATAGAGCGCAGGCGTCAACAAACTAAATATTCAAGTTAGACATGTAAAATGTCTATACAAACATTATTCTAAAAGATCTTTTTTGTCGACATATGCGCTCTATGTTTCCAGTCTAAAAACCAATGCAAATTTACCCATTTTCATTGTTTTTTTCGTGGAAAATCAAAATGAGTACTATTTGTGACGTCATGAATAAAACACAGGAACGTAAATTTTCAACAAAAAGGCTTATTTTCTATCTAGTCACTGTATTAGCTATGATTCATTGTGATATTGGTCAATAAATCCTAATTTGAAATTTAAGCTAAATAAGGGGGCCATTTTTGGGCCTTATCGAACCTACTCCTTTGATTACATGCTGAAGGGTACAAAAAGCTTTAGAATGTCTGATGTGAATGTTGTAACCAGAAGTGGACCCAAGATATCAAACTGCTTATGTGCAAAAAACAGGCAAAGCATTACACAGAATTTTCTATTTGACATCAAGAAAATGTTTACCATAAGAAAAATAGGTTTAACAACTTGTGAGAATTCAAAATTGCTTGAAATCAACTCTAGCATTATTTAATTTCAGTAGTAACTTAAGTAGTGTTGGGAGCAAAAATGATTCTGATAAAAAACTTCAGGTGATCTAGTGATCACAGATATCCCAATCCACAGCAACTGAGGCATCATGATTTTGTTAAGTGGTCCAAAACATTCCATGAAAATTACAATTAATTTCAAAAAGAGATTCTCTATTTATTATCTGGAAACCCCCCCAAAAAATATTTTTTTCAACTACATGTATCATTCACCTCAACTCTGGAATGGTATAAGTGAAAACAATCTTAATTGAACTTAACCTGTCTTTAGTAATCCAAAACATTCCATAATTTGTTTTTGCTAATTACAACAAGCTGTTATCTTTGATGGACAAACAGACTTACGGATGAGTGTCAATGATGATTACTATATACCCAGATTGGCAGAGTTCTAGGCTATTATCACATTAAAAGTTCTAAGGTCCTAAAATGTTGCAGAAAACTGGGGATAACTTTTTGAATAGATCTAAAGGTATATTCTAAAGCATAAAACATATTTTCAATTACTTTGAAATTACTTTAATTCGTGGGTATCAATTTTCGTGGTTTGAGCAAAAGTTACATGTTCCTTGGTTTTTAAATTCGCTGATTTTAGTTTTCTGAAGAAAAAAAAATTGAGTGAAGAATTTGAAGCCGTCACAAACAAAGATTTATGAAAATAATCATATGTTGTTTTATAACGATTTGTGGGACATTGCAAAATATGTTCATTTTCATTTACTTCTTTGTCTTTCATAACAGAAAACATTCACAAGATTTTTAATGAAATAATTGTTTTCGAAAATAAGCTGATTCATCTTTTTGTAGAAGTAATTTTTTTGCATTAATCGCAATACGATTTTTTTTGTATAAGAATTATGAGGAGTTAAAATGAACACTTCATCATTGTATATCATCACCGGAAGTCTTGACTTTCATGGATCAAAACTAATTTTTTATGAGAATTAAAAGGAGAAAAGTCATACAGTTTAAGTTTTTAAAAGATTAAATGGGCAAAATCCTGTCTGAAGTTGTATATAGTTTATAGTGCGTTTGCCGATATTCGATGTAATCTCTAGATTAGATGTCCGTATCCATGCAGTCAAACCTACTCTGGGACCTTACCACATATTTTTTTGGACAATAGTTGTTTTATTTCATTGGACACTTAATTTCGTGGATAAAGCGATCCACGAAAACTACAAAAAATTGGTACCCCACGAAAAAAAGTACTTTCAGTGTATATCAAAAACATAAACAAAATTATTTTATAAAATATATTCAACTATACACATTATATGAGAATGTTAGAGGTTATGTAATTAACCTTGACAGAACCAACTGGTACCCTGTTACATAATCAGACACATTGATATGTTTAGAGATTACATAACCAACTGGTAACCTGTTACATAATCAGACATATTAATATGTTTAGGGATGACAAAACCAACTGGTAACCTGTTACATAATAAGACACATTAATATGTTTAGAGACTACATAACCAACTGGTACCCTGTTACATAATCAGACATATTAATATGTTTAGGGATGACAGAACCAGCTGATACCCTGTTACATAATAAGACACATTAATATGTTTAGAGATTACATAACCAACTGGTACCCTGTTACATAATCAGACATATTTATATGTTTAGGGATGAGGAAGTACACCACTAATTCATGGCCCCATTGCTTTCTATGTTAAATTCCCCAATTTCAAGCAGGCACAGCTCTTTTGTTTCAAGTTCAAATAAAGTGACAATCATTGCATGTCAAAGCAACACTTTATGGTGCCTTGTACTGAATCAAAGCGCGAAAGCGCTGTAAAGGCAGTTAATTACAGGTTGTGTGTATTTTTAGTCCAGTTATATCATTATCTTGCATAGTACAGTGTACTTATCAGAGGTGGCTTTTAGTATTTAAGATTAAGAGTTCTCTAATGATATTGAACACGTTTTATGAATGTCATATTCTGAGCACTATATGAAGGCGATTGTTCTCACTTGTTTATGAACTAGTGCCATTAAGTCCAGTTTGTACCTTGTTTATCTATGTTTATAGTCAAATACTGTTTAATATAGTTGGGCATTTTCTTTTTAGTAATAAATAAATGTTATCAACTGTATTTTATTCAACTTTGCAAATGTGGTTTGTTACTAGTAAGTATGGATGATAGTTGTTTCATTGGCAATCATACCACATCTCCTTATTTATATAATGATCTATATTAAACGACCTCAGGTACAAAAAAAATGTATGTAACTAAACTATGATGGGAAACCTTTGACTTATTTCTTTTATATAAACTTTTGATTTGGTACCATAGAACTATGTAGAATAAATGTACATTGCAACATGTCAACTCTTTCAATGACAATACTTTTTTTAGAAACTATAACTCCAAGCAAAATTATATTTCCAAGTATAAAGTAATTTATGAATGAAAAAAGGAGTTCTTAATTAAGAAATAAACTGATTCGCTGAGCGCAGCTGGATACACCTGCAGAGGTCCAACCCTGAACAGTTGGGGCAAAAATGGACACAATATTCAAGCTTGATACAGGTCTGAATTTGGATTGTAATTTAATATTTGACATATTATAGTTTCTGATTAATGTAGTCAAAGAACTTGAAATCGGTTATATGAATTGAATTTATATTCAATTAAAGATTTCTTGCTGTTGTGCAATACACTGTGCTGTTGCGCAATACTTAATAAAGCTGTTGCCAGACTATAAACAAATAAAGTTCAATTTCTTCTCAATGTCATATTTGAAATTTATGAAAATCAATAGGGAGATTACATCAATAGCTATAAATAATTCACCAAAGTTTCATGCGAACTGCTTAAAACATTTTTTGAGTTGTTGTCCAAAAACTGGAAAATCCACCCTTTTTTAATGAATAAAACCCCATAACTCAGAAATGTTAAATCTAAAATTTATAAAATTCTAAAGGGTGCTAACGGATTGATAATTTAGTCTTAGATGCAAGATTTTTTTATCAGTTGTTAGTGGCTTTGAACTAGCTGTCAGTAACTGCGAGTACTCTCAGATCTGTACTCAGTGTCTTTTTGTTGTTTGGATGTACAACTACCCGGCCACGTCCACTTGTATTTGTATTTATCCATCTGATGAGTGATCATTCTTATATTGTACTGTTACACCACTGTCTCAGGTTATGGGGAGGGTTGGGATCCCGCTAACATGTTTAACCCCGCCACATTCTGTATGTACTTCTATGTGCCTGTCCCAAGTCAGGAGCCTGTAATTCAGTGGTTGTCGTTTGTTTATGTGTTGCATATTTGTTATTCGTTCATTTTTTGTACATAAATTAGGCCTTTAGTTTTCTTGTTTGAATTGTTTTACATTGTCATTTCGGGGCCTTTTATAGCTGACTGTGGGGTATGGGCTTTGCTCATTGTTGAAGGCCGTACTGTGACCTATAGCTGTTAATTTCTGTGTCATTTGGTCTCTTGTGGAGAGTTGTCTCATTGGCAATCATACCACATCTTCTTTTTTATATTTTAATCAACAGATATAAACAATTCACCAAAGTCAAGGCGAGACAACAAAACTTAGTTGTAAGATCTCTGAGATTTTTTACACGGTACGAGTTTTTCTCATTGTTGGAGATTGTACGGTGACAGTAACACCTGTAACTGTTTAAACCCATTTCTTATGCACTTTGGTTCGATAAACTCACTGAATATCA